CTGATGCATAAACTTTTCCCTTACTGAAAAGAGCAAGATAAGCTTTGTTTTCAATATCGTCAAATTGCGACGCCCATCTCCGAATTAGATTTGGCCCAATTAAATCTTAGTTAAATTTGGCCTTATCATATAGCCGGGTGGGTCACTTCATTTTCCTTTTTTGGATTAATCCCACCATACACTATAAATGTCTAGTGTTACAATACATTTTATTCGACATATACCTTTTTAAAACACAAAAAAATAAATACATGAGTTAAATGTCTTATTAATCACCAAACTTGTATCTCCATTAAAATTCACTCAACTTCAGAATGCCCTTGAGTGATCACTAAGGCTATGTCTGAGAGAAATTTTTTGGTGGATTTTAATTGCATTTTGGACCGTTGCCTTTTACTTCAGTCGGCATTGTTGACTTTTTATCTCACAATTGGTCCCACATGCTATCAAATAACAGTCACAAAATCAATTAACATTTGGCTAAAAGTTGGGCTAGACAGGCGCTAAATTTTAATATTTTGTACTCCGTTACTCACTCATCATGTTGCATAAGTCACTAAACTTTAAAATGTTTCTAAATAGTCATTGAACTTTAACACGTGACTCGATCACTCACCCACCATGTTTCCATCACGTCAAATTTTCTATTTAGCGTATTTGTCTCAATTAGGTATTATGCTTTATCTTTACATATTTTTCTACACTAAATCAAATTATGGTATCTGCATCATCACTTTTACGAACATAGTATGCCGTCTAAAAAAACATATAAAACAAAAATGATCTCGAGAAGGCATTCGAATTTATGTCTGTCTATATGAAAACCAAAGAAAAAAATAAGAAGCTGAAATATAAAAGAAGTGAGTGTATAAATATCTCATAGGAAAAAGTTACAATGTAACAAGATTTATCTGCTTGAATTAAAGAAGTCTCAATAAACTAAATGGCAGATGAATACTCTGTGATTTACTGATTTTTAGTGTAGGTCAGTGATGGAGGAAATCGAGATTGTCTGGACGATATCTCTCTTGAATCGATAGAACCGGCCTCTCCTCAAGTGTAATTCTTGAAATACATAATCTGAAGTTTGGATCAAAACCGAAAAGGATTCCTACCCATTTAACAGATTATATCAACTGCAGGGACTGCACCAACTGGAGCTGGAGCTGTATTAGTTGCGGGCGTTCTTTAAAAAAAAAAACGGTTTTACTAGTGTTACATCACCATATAGATAGGGGTGTACACCCCCCTCACATGGGGGTGGGACCCGCTTGAATAAAAAAATATTTTATACAAGTGAGTCACACCCCCATGTGAGTGGGGGGTGTACACCCTTATGTACATTTTTTGATATACAAGTAGAATTATTCAAAAAAAAAAACTCACTTTTCATATTATGTCATTGTTTGGCCCCCATTTTGGAGAATTTATAAATTTTAAAATAGTGATTGATGTGTGAATGTGTAGTTGAAAAAAATTAAAAAGTTTTAGATTTGAGTGTAATATTATTTTATTTGGAGAATATGTGATTAAAATTAAGAAAGAATTTTTTTTAATATATCCCACTTTATAATTATTCCTATTGAAATTCTAAATTTTTTAAAAATATCATTCTTATCCACATCACATTTGAATATTGTTCTTATTAAATTTACTCATTTAAGCACGATACATCCACATATTTTTATATATTCATCCCATCATAATTTTTTCAATCCTTTTATATATTTAGAGTAACTATATTGTCACCACAATTTTTAATTGATACACCACATTTTAATTGTAATTAAAGTCATTAATCTTTCATCATTGTAACAATTATTTGCTTTGACTTTCTTTCGTCGAATTCTCATCTTCAACCTTCCATTAATTCGTATTTCTCGTCTTTGATGATGATTTAT